AAAGCATCAAAGAGAGCTAGATAGGGACACAGGAAAACAACAAGAACAGCAACAACAACAACAACGTAGGTTAGGAGTAATGAAGGAGAGAAAAAGAATGAGTAGGACATAGTGGAGGTATAATATTTGGTGAGGCAATAGGAGAAAAATTTTCAGAACTTTACTAAAAAAATGTTTACTCCCATATCCAAGAAGCAGAGCAAATACTAAAAAGGATAAAGAGAAACCCACACAGAGGGACATCATACCGAAATCGAGGGACAAATAAGATAAAGACCAGATTGTCAATGCAACTAGAAAAAAAAGAATCTAAAAAAGGAACCATGTTGAGATACCACCTTACACCGGTTAGAATAGCCAAAATTAACAAGATAGTAAACAACATGTGTTGGAGAGGATGTGGAGAAAGGGGAACCCTCTTACACTGTTGGTGGGAATGCAAGTGGGTGCAGCCACTTTGGAAAACAGTGTGGAGATTCCACAAAAAATTAAAAAATAGAGCTACCCTATGATCCTGCAATTGCACAACTGGGTATTTACCCTAAAGATACAGATGTAGTGAAAAGAAGGGCCATCTGTACCCCAGTGTTCATAGCAGCCATGGCCACAGTCTCTAAACTGCAGAAAGAATCAAGATGCCCTTCAATGGACAAATGGATAAAGAAGATATGGTTGAGATATACAATGGAGTATTATGCCTCCATCAGAAAGGATGAATACCCAACTCTTGTATCAACATGGACAGGACTGGAAGAGATTATGCTGAGTGAAATAAATTAAGCAGAGACAGTCAATTATCACATGGTTTCACTTAAAGGATTAACACAGAGGACATTGGGAGGTGGAGAGGAGAAGGGAGTTGGGGGAAATCGGAGGGGGTGACAAACCATGAGAGACTGTGGACTCTGAGAAACAAACAGGGTTTTGGAGGGAAGGGGGATGGGGGGTGGGTGAGCCTGGTGGTGGGTATTAAGGAGGGCATATATTGCATGGAGCACTGGGTATGGTGCATAAACAATGAATTTTGGAACACAGAAAATAAATAAAATAAAATTAAATGAAATAAAAAGAAGCTACTATAACAATGCTAATATTTTAAAATTACTTTCATTTATTTAATAATGCATAATAAATATATAATTGTATTTTGAAATATAAAAAAAAGAGACAATTAGACTGAGATATTACTTCTTAACAACTACAGAACTGGTAAGGATGGGGAAAAAAATCTTGAAATGCTGCAAGAAAATAACCACCAACCTCAAATTTTTACCCAGGAAAATTGCCTTAAAAAATAGTAAAATGATGTTTCCACGCAAACAAAGCCAGAGAGATTTTCATTAAAGGAACTTCTGAAAGGATTTCCCGGTGAAAGAAGGAGGAAAGAGTGTGAGAGGAACATGTGTTCTTAATGGGGCTAAGTTTTCTATAATATTCTTTCAATTAATTTTTTTGAAAGAAAAAATTGGTCCAAATTCCTGAAAGTTGGAATTGCTAGAACTGACATTTGATCCTATAACAATTGATCCTATAATTTGTCAGCTCATGGTTGGCTTATCATTTATACCACATGCCAGCCAATCTGAAGTTACTAATCATTTCATATTGACATGGTGTTTCAGTGGGTCAATACTCTGATCCATGAAAGTTCAATCAAAACAATTAAAATGAAACTCTATATCCCAAAGTCCACCATACAAAAATGCTAATAAATACATTTAGAAATTGTCTGATTATTTTTTATGGTGTTCAGTACTTTAGTACAACATTTGCTAAAGTAATAAGGCTTTCAGTCAAGCCTGCAATGATAGCAAAATTGCCTCCTTCAAAAAAACTAGGTCTAGTTTCCAGAAGAGGAAAAGGGAAAAGGGTTAGCAAAGTTATGTCGTTTGTAGAAAAAAAGAAGAGTTTCTGACATTAACAAGCTGCATGGACTTTGGGCAAGTTAAAAACCATTCGTAGTCTACTTTAAAACAGATCGGTATAATGAAATAACTTGCCCAGATGTTCGCAAAATTCTTCTGGATCAAGATACAGTTATTATAGTTATATATGCCAGAAAATTTAGGTGAGTTTGTGTTCCAACTCTATTCACTATGATCCTGTCTGAGAATGGATATTATAAGGTAAACTGAGGTAATCAGGAAGACCCATGAGGCTTGGAATCAGGGCTGGGAACCCAAAGGAGAGAAGAAGTAAGAGGAGGCCAAGTGATGGAGAATTAAACTGAGTTATCTATAAATAAAAATACCAGAAACTTCTCTTACTGAAATAGATAGATAGATGATAGATAGATAGACAGATAAAGATATTTCTATCTATCTTTCTATCTATCTATCTATCTATCTATCTATCTATCTAAGGGAGATGACCACATTGGAACAGGACTGATAATTCTAAAATGGGAAGCCCACCACAGAGAAGGATCATAATCTTCATTACCCTTTCACCCAGGGATGCAATATTCCCTTTGCATGTCTAGTGGGAAAGAATTGTAACTCTTTGCCAATCAAAGATTATAACACTTTGAATCATGAGAAGAAGTGAAATATATGTAACATGAATTAACATGAATTCAGGACCTACTTTATTTCATCAAAATAGAAACACTGATAAATAATGAGTGCCCATGATAGAAGCATCTACCTCCGCCATGTCCCCTTCTTATCATTTTCCCGCAATGGTTACTTTTTTGCCCCAAAAGCCATCTTAGGGACAAACACACAATTCCCGTGTTTCTATAGAATGGCTAATGTTAGATTTCATCATGATGCCACAGACAGAATGTCCCTGGTCACGAATCCACAGTGATGGCACTTTGGTGCCTTAGAGCATATTCTGAGACCATGTCTTTGGGTGAGGTGAAGCCTATTATCTACTCATTTTGGGATTACACAATGATGTTCCTAAGCAAAGGAAATTACTTGAGAGGCAAAAGAAGTTTCTGCTCATCTGAAGGAATAAGTGGGAAGAGCAGTTTATGGCTCACCATGTGACACTCAAAATGACCACAGCCCCAGGCTCCAGAAAACCACCTCTGATGTGGGTTGGACATTTGCTGGGAACCACTAGGTGAGATGGAGCCTCACTAAGGAAAAGGCAATTGTTGTTTTGCCCTTAACCCGTTTCCCAATCATGACCTCAAGATATTGTCCAGGAAATGACCTCATTAGAGTAAGAGATGACAGTCCAAAACTCTTACCCTCTTGGGCTGTTACAGCTGGCCTTCTTCAGGGTTCTAAGTGTTCACCATGAATGGTTTGAAGCTCTCAAGCACGTTAAGTGAATTAGAGCAGTGTGCACCCCTCATGGTGCTGATTATGATGGCGATTATAATAGCCATTATGAATGCCAGACCTGTGCCAGGCACTTCATACACATTATTTCTATCATTTACTGTTAGCTGGAAATATTTATTTCTCACTCCTCAACAAAAGGGCAGAGAACATTTACTGCTGTGTCTTTCTCCCCATCCCCTCAGTTATCCAAGCCTGGGGGGAAGAAACACATTCATCTTGAGTCTCTCTCAGATCCCCCTGTCCACAGAGAGGGCATGTCTTGGGCTGTTCTTTTTCATATAATTAGCTCACCCAGTAGCCTCTGTCTAGGCACCCAAGATACCAAGGACAATAGTACTTGCTCCTGAGGAGACAGAGGTTATGTCTTTCATATTCAGGAGTGAAATCCAGCATTAGGAAGCCCATCTGGAGGGCAGGGAGACCAGATGTTCTCATCTAACTTCATTAGTAACAAGGCTTATGTTTTTGGTTTCAAACTTTCTGATAGTTTCGCCTTCTCAGCTGGTTCTGAACCCAGATGTGGACGAAGGCAGTGTCATTGCTTATCAGTTGGAACCCCGACACTCATGCAGGGGCTGTGCTCTCATGGGGAAGAAATGTTCAGGATTTCCCTTCAAGAGAGAACATGCTTCTGTGAATGAAATGAGGCAACAGCATCCACTGGCCACACTTTGGGGTCCACTGAAGCATTATAGTCACACCGAGGCCACTTTCTCAACCAGCTGCTTGCAGCCAGTGAGTGAACTGGAGGAAGGGGATCTTGGAACCACCCATTCCTGCCCAGTGCTCTGGGCCTCTCCATTCTTTCCCAGAGTTCACTGCAGATGGAGGCTCTTCCCAGCTCATCTTCCTTCTCTCCTTCGCCTCCTCCTGCTCTTCCCCTATTTACCCTCAAGGCTCCCCCCTCCCATACATTTCCTGCACTTCTATTTCTTGTCTTGGCATCTTCTTTCCCAAAGACCCAAGCTGACACCATCAGTATTATAATGCTCTCCAATTCACAGCAGATGAAGGGAGGCTCCAAAGTAAGAAAGGAGAAAGCATAAATACGTTCCCCTTTAAGAAGTTCATGCATACTCCGGAGATGAGAGGCTCCCTTAAAAAAATACCTAATCTACATTTTAAAAGAAAAATGTGAGTATCTTATAGATGGTACTAGTGTTGTAAGTCAAAGAGAGACTGGCTTCCTTTCTTCAGCAAACTGAGCCCAATTGAGCCTGTCCATTTAATGCAAAGATATGCTGGCTTCTAGAAAGTAGAAGAGAACAAAAAGACCAGAAACATTTCCAGCACCCACTGCTCAGGTTTGAACCTGAACTCAGAATGTACTCATGAAAAGAGCAAATGATCTCAATAAGGCAATTAGCTACTCACTGCCCATCACACCCACATCTCTATCTTTACACTTACTCCATGACAAAGCCCCCAACTTGTCAGCGCTTTGCAGAAACAGAAAATACATCACAATGAGAAAATGGGTTTTTCAAACTTGGTTTTTACCTTCACCAATTAAACCCAAATTTGATATTTTGTCTTCACATTCAGGGGAGAATCAACATATTAGGAAAGGATAAAGAATTCTTCTGTGATTTTTGAACCCTGGGAAATATCAGAACATGAGAGCACACACATCATTCAAAAGTTAACCAGAAATTTCTTTTCATGGAGTAATTTTTTAAAGACAAGAGGAACAGGACTCACCTTCACTAGAGTCTTTGGAACATTCTGGCTTCTTTGCTTTGCTCTTCTTGGGGGGTGGAGAGAGGCCTTTTGGCTCTACCCCCTCTGAAAGCATAAAGATTTAAAGCATTTTTATTTAGATATTAAATATTTAAAATTATGTTGAAGTTTAAAGTCTCCCCCCACCCCTCAGTAAACCCACATGTATAGTGAAGCTTGCTCACAGATTTCATTTGTCATTTTGGCTGAGCTAAATTTTGGCAAGAGCCTGTGCTTCTCCAGCATACATAGATCGACATTAAAGCCTCAGCTTAACATCTTTTTGTGACCATCACTAATGATTCACACAAATGTGAAATCTTAAATGCTTTTTTTTAAATTAAAAGAAATTCTCCATAAGGCAACCCCAAATTATTATTATTATTATTTTTTCTCCACGGGAGTTTGATTTAAAACTTCACGGATTAACTGACAGTTGCCAAAATGCAATTTCATTTTACTAAATCCTCAAAGTAGAGCTAGATCAGCTGCAATGTCATCTCATCTTGGGAGGCTGGGGTGGAGCTTGAAATTATCCTCCTTCCATTTAACAGATTTCTTTAGTCATCCAAATTCTAAACAACTTCTGTATGCCCCCAATTAAATTAACATGTTTCCCACTTTTCTCAATCCTTCCCAAGACCTCCTGGGGCTGAGTCTATCCAAGGAGGCTGATAATTTAAATTCTGAAGACTGAAAAAAAAAAAAAAATTCTGAGGACAGTGTTAGGAAAAGTATCTCTAAATTCATCCCCTTCAGATATAGATACTTTGTTATGCATTAATTTGTATTTCCAGTCCTGGTCTCTCTACTAAGCTCAAAGCTTATATCTTCAACTTCCATGGCAGCTTGTTTTGTATTTGAACTGGCTGTCTTCTGTTTGCACCTCCAGATCCACTCACCAACCCCTACCCCATCTCCCACCCAGCTGTGCACTGGGAGACTGGTCTGTACTTGAAATTTCTGGCTTTCTTCCTAGGCTACTAGTAGCCTTCAGGGGCTTATTGTATCCCTCTATCTCATATCACAGCCCCAATCCCTTGGCCTTCTCCACATCCCCTTTGTCTCCAGGATCAGGTAACCACCCCCTCCCCCACTGTCCTTTCAGGGCTGGGATTTAATGGTGCCTCCCTCTTTCCAGCCCTCATGATTTCCCATCACTGGGCTCTCACCAAGCATTTCAAATTTATGTAAATAATCCCATTAGGCATTTCAAACAGCACAGCTGCAACACGCTCTTGATGTCTGCAAACCTGTTCTTCCCACAGTATTTCACATCTCACTATCTACCCAGGAATTCAAACCCCCAAACGAGATACTGTTCTTAATGTTTCCTTTCAGTCACTTTTCCAGGAAGGTCATTGTAAGTCTTATCAGCTCTCCTCCACAACATCCCGTATTCATCCACTGAGCTCATCCTTTGCAATCATCCTCCTAATCCAAACCAGCAGCCTCCCTCACCCGGCTCCCTGTAGTAACCTCTGTCCTGGTATTCTAATCTCCCGGAAACTATTCTCCTTGCAGCAGCCAGAGTTACCTTCTCAGTATAAACCTGATCCTGTCGCTCATCTGTTTAAATACCATTGGTCTTAGAGTAAGATCCAAATCCAAGTCCCTGGGCCAGGACATGGCCATTGCGCTCTACCCACAGCTCTAGCCTCATCTCCTGCTTGTGCTTTGGCTGCCTTTGTGTGTTCTTCGGTCATTACTATGCCAGTTTCTGCCTTAGAATGGTCACATCTGTGGTTCTTCTCCCCTCCCCCTCCAAAAACGCACACTCATGTGTCTACCTCCTTCTCACCTATTAATCTCCAACCAAATTCAGCTACCAAGAAAGGCCTCCGTGAATTCCTAATACGAAGGGTGACTGCGAGGGAAATCGTTCTCAAATACCTCGCTTGATGTATCTGAAATCATCTTGTCCTCTTCTTTCTTTATTGTATTTTTCCCTTCTCCATCCCACCTCCTAAGAATGTGAGTTCCTTGAGAAAAGGACATTTCCTTATCTCTCTTTCCTTATCTCTCTTACATCCCTGGTACCTAGTAGTGTTTTGAGAATTTCGTTTCCAGTTCGGTTTTCTTTCCCCCCCTTACCCAGGCCTTTCTTTAAGGCCAAGATATAATGGGGCCCATGCCTAATTCTTACTCTCTTAGCAGCTGTCGCCTTATGCCAGGATTCTAAAATTACACTACAGAGCTATGGCGACTCATTTTTCTTTTCCCATTTATTAAAAAAAGGAACAGAACAAAAAATTGCATTTGATAGATGTGCTATTAAAAACTTTGGCATTATGGACTATAAAGGTTTTTGGGCACAAAGTTAGGCTTTCTGTGGTTGCGAGTCAGTCAAATCTAAGATCATTACCATGGCCAGGGTGAAAAATTCTGCCAATGATTACATTAGTAACTCCCCCAAACTTCTGTCACCAGGTGTGAGATGGATGTTGACCCTTCAGAATGGGTTCAGCAAAATCAGAAATGAGATGCTTGGAACAGCTCACTGAGCACAGATGCTGTGCTCAAAAGGATGCGTAAAATGGGCAAAGCAATACTTGTGATCTCCCTGGAAGGAGACTGTAAGACTCTCTGGAAGATGCCTCTGAAATGCATCATCTACAACAGGGACTAAGAGTAGAGTTTCCCATGCTGGGGATTCAACCCCAAACCAGCATTTCCTGAAAGTGAGTTTTTGATAATGAACTTGATTTCCCAACCTGAATAGGAATTCTTGGGGAAAGGATAAGACATCTCTGAAAGACATCTATGTGTCTCTCTTTGTCCACATTTTGAGATAAGTACCCCGAAAGGACTAGTGCTTCATTTTTTTAAAAAGTGATAGGGCCCTCCTTGGGTAGTCAGTGGGCATGGATACATGTTAATTATGAACATGTCATCTACGACATTGGTATCATTTCATAACACCCATGGAGGCACTCAAATGAAAGTCACTGATAACACATGGCCTCTGTGCTCAGATTTCTACTTGTGGGGCAGCAGAAACAACTCTCCCTCTTGATCTGGGGAAGCTGAGGGAACATTCCTCCAAAGCACCCAAACTTCTCCTAGGCAGCATATCATATGATCTATGTTGCCTCTCTTTCTGACAGAGGGTGGAGACTTGGAGCGTTGCTCTGAGCATAGCTTTGTCACCTAAAGAACTCAACTGCGCTCCTCACCCTCATATATCTGAACTGCCGTAGGTGGCCATTGATTTTCTGTCCCTGGTTGGGGCCCATTTCAACAATGCATGGTCTTGGGAATGGAAAGACATGGGGAAACATTTTCTAAGCTAGGATTAAAGAAACTGACAAAGGATTTAAAGGGAATCCTCAGCTTTTAAGCCAGTTTGTCTCTGTCATTCCCCGTGGGGGCAGAGCTTCATCTTGAGGATGACCTTGTCTCACACCACCTGAGACGCTCCTGCATCTAAGTTACTTTTAGAGTCAGAGACAGGGTGTGAGCTTTGGGGTCAGACACACTTATGGCTCTCCTATTTAAGCCAGGAACTAATTCCTCTCGAGTCTTGTGTAGTAACAATCCTTGGCTCCTAGACTTGTTGCATATCTTAAATGAGTTCATGTATGTGGAGCGACTGGCATGAGGTCCATGTTGATTAAAATCTGGTTCAGCAGACGCGTGCTGGGACAGACGTGAGCCAGCTGACCACACCTATCTCTCCTCAACTCCCGCATTCATTGACCTCATGTTTGGTAGCTTGAACACCACCACAATGGGTGTATTTACAATAATGAAATATACAGGCTCCCTCCAGTTGGGTTTCTCTGCACCCAGAGAGTCAGGTTAGCAGTACCTTACTGGTTTTGGGTCTTCAGATTATTTTTCACTATCATTCACTAGTTTTTACTGGCCAGTTATTTCTCCGAAGTAGCCTTTCACTAATGTTAGCTGCATTCGTAAAAATCCCTCCAGCATTTCTACATGTATGAGAAGAAGAGGTGATACAGGGTGGAGGAAAGGCAGCTCTTAATGGTCTGGTTAGAGACCTGTCTTAGAGACCAAGACACCTGAGGATGAGATCTGAACTGAAGCCAGCCTCCTCACCAACATCTGGCAAGGCCAGTGGCCCATCATGGAACCATTCTGCCCAGAATTCCCCTTGATTTCAGCACTCCCATGTTAGAAAATGGAGATCAGCCTTGCAAGCCCATTCTGGCCTGGTGACTTAGCATCTTTGGGGCATCGAGTGTGACTTCCACAGCTGCATCCAGCCGCTGGTCACAAAACCCCCATGAAGCCTGATGAGACTAAAATCAGAACTGATGATCCGATTAAAGTGCCCCAAACCTCATATGCTGACTCAAACCTTGTGGGCTCAGCATTAGCATTAATAATGATTTTCTTAAAATCACTCAGTGGTTGGGAGAGCTAGCTGCATCTCATTAAGAAGTCAACTCCCCCTGCCTAGAAATGTGTACTTATGGCACTTAGGCAAATGGTCCTTAGCCAGATAAAGTCCTTAAATTGGCCAGCTGAAAGGGCAGTACTCCCTATGGCTGAAGGATATTACAAGGATACTTCACATGAGCAGGATAAAGGAGAAGACAAGAAATTGACATTAAATGTAATCCAAGATGGGGTGACTACTTAAAGTCTTTTTTTCAACCTACGGTTCTTTTAAGCAATAAGACATCCCTCATGAGTATGGAAATGGATATTCTAATTGAAATTTCACCTTGGGCTTTATGTTTTACAAAAGGCAGAGTCCTTGTCTCAGGTTGGATTTTCTCAGAAGACGCTGAGACAGGATTAGAGAGCAAATGCTTCATTTAAGAAATTACCCCAGAGGGGCACCTGGGTGGCTCAGTGGGTTAAGCTGCTGCCTTTGGCTCGGGTCATGATCTCAGGGTCCTGGGATCGAGTCCCGCATCGGGCTCTCTGCTTGGCAGGAAGCCTGCTTCCCTCTCTTTCTTTCTCTCTCTCTCTGTCTGCCTCTCTGCCTACTTGTGGTCTCTCTCTCTCAAATAAATAAATAAAATCTAAAAAAAAAAAAAAAAAAAAAGAAATTACCCCAGAAAGTGCCAGAGGGGAGTAGGGAAGGGAGACAGGAAAGGGAAGGCAGCTGATACTGGGTGTGAGCAAGTTCCACTGGGGAGTTCTGGGTGTTGGTATCAAATCTCGTTGTCCAACACCACACTTTGCCAAAGGATACATGAAATGTATCTAGTCTGAATTGAGACATGAATGTAAAACACACACACACACACACTTCAAAAACTTAGAATGGAAAAAAGAGGATGTAAAATATCAGGCTCCTATAATATATTGATTAGTTGTTGAAATGATACTATTTTGGATATTTTATATTACATAATATAGTATTAAATTAATTTCACTTGTTTCTCTTTACTTTTTCCCACGTGATTACTAGAAAATCTGAAGATAAGCAGGAGGCTCCCATCCTATTTCTACTGGACAGCACTGAATCATAACCTGCCTCAGAGTTGTACTGCACAGTTCCCCCAACTCTTGTCCATTGTTGCCTAAGGACCACTCCAGACAAATTAACCCCCTGGCACTTTGAGTTTGCTTTCCTGACCAGCAAACAAGGCTCAGCTGAGGGTCACAAGAACTTTCCTTAGACTGCTGTGGATATTGTAAAGCAATGGCGGGTACCATGGATATACAGGCAGGGAACTGACAAATGTTATTATAGCAGTAATACCTCCTTTGTTTCTGTTCCTGGCTTGTAGACCCTCCCTCGACTTCTCCTGCCCTCTGAATCCACTGCCCTGGGGAGACCAAGGGAACCATAGGACTCAGGCATGTTTGAACTGGAGAAGAAGCTAGAAGCTAGAGAGGAGTTATGACCGTTGCTCCTGTGAGCTGTTACAAAGAAAAGACCTGCTGGTATCTTTCCACGAAGACAGTGGGAGATCAGGGGAGGAAGAGAGATTTAACCAGGAGAAAGGACCATTTTAATCAAACCTTGACTAACAGAGATCGTTTACCTCAGAATTTAAATTGCTCCCTGTTAATGGAGCTGCTCAGACTGAGGTTGTCGGTGATTAATGGATGGAGTTCTGGCATTGAATAGCAGGTTACACAAAATTAGGACCTCTGAAATATCGATTTTAATTTTTGAAACCTGGCCCCATCTCATACCCAGAATAGTGTGGTTGCCAAAATGGGGAACATGGAGTACTTATACTATGGAATTAAGTTCTATACCCTTCCAATATCTAGAGGAGAAAGAAAGAAGTGATAATTTCATGTTTACTAAGATCCAAGAAACATTTCAGGTATATCTCCTTTAATTCCCAAACAAGACTATATGGTAACATTTTTTGACCACAGAGGTATAAACTAAGGCCTATAGAGAAAACTTTTACCTAAAGTCCATAAATGGAGGAGCTTGGATTGAATTCAGTCCTATTGATTTCATGAATTCATTAACAAGCACATACCGAGTGGCTCCCTTAGGCCAGATCCAATGTTTGCAACCACTAGATTTCCCTCATCAAACACTGGTCTTTCTTGAGGAGTAGGCACACATCTTAATTTCTGATAGTGAGAAAAATAAATCCTATATACCAAATATATGTACCAAAGATGGCCACAGCAAGTCTTCAGGTCCCATGTACTTTACGAAAACCTCACTGCTCCCCATCAGGGGACTGAGCCTATCTTCTCTCCCCATGAACCTGGGCAGGCTTCTTAATGACTGTTCCAAAAAAGAGTTTTGTGGAAGTCATTCTGTGGGACTCCTGAGGCTGAGGCTTAAAAAGGGTACAGCTCCTGCTGGCTCACTTTGCTGTCTCTAGAGAAACCACTTTGGAGCCTGGCTGCCATGCTGAGAGGAAGCCCAGGTTATTGAAGGAGGCCATGCATAGATATTTCAGAAAACTGCCCCAGCCAGGGTCTCAGCTGAGAGCCCCAGAGCCAGTATCAATCGCCGGCCAGACATGAGAGTGAACAGATCTTCACAGGATTCCAGCCATCACCCCCAGCCGCTGGGGCATCCTGATGAGGCCTCAGACCTTGTAGAGCAGTAGGATGAAGTCAGCCCTGCTGTGCTCTGTCTGAATTCCTGACCCACTGAATATATGAGCAGGATAAGCAGATGCTTTAATCACTAAGCTTTGGGGTGATTTGCTACACACCTCTATTCGTTATAACATCAGGTTCCATTTTTACCTCAGCTTTCAGAAAGCTGAAAGTCTACTGCTTAAATATGCTAATTGTATAAGCCACAAGAGTTAGCACAACTACTTTCTCATTTTATAACCTTGAGTGTACATTTCTATTTTTTTCTTTTTTGTCTTTTCATGCCAGTATAGCTAACATGCAGGGTTATGTTGGTTTCAGGTGCACAATATAGTGATTCAGCAATTCCTTACAGTACTCAGTGCTCATCAGGATAAGTGTACTCTTAATCCCCTTTACCTATTTTATTAACCTTGTTACATTTTTCTTTGAAAAAAATGTGAGCCATACATAAACAACACAATGATCTTTGCCTACTCCCTATGAATAAAATAATAAATTTAATACCTGCATCTTCTTTGAGGTCAACACCTTCTTCTTCATTATTATCATCTATTTAAAAAAAAAGAGAAAAGACAAAGAAAAGCTCATACAAAAGCTAGAAACCCCAGAATTCTCCAATCTAATAAAAATGCAAAGGCAAGAAAATACTCAGCAGAAAACCTGGTAGACCATGCATTTCTATTGTCTTATATTATTATGCTAAATCAGTGTAATGTAATGTAAACAGACATTAGAGCACAATTTTATACCTAGGGTTTATGCTTCCTTTTAAAAATTGTTAGATATGTCTAACAAAACTATATATGCAACAATTTGTTTTGCTTTTAAAGTTTCACACAGTCACTTTGGTCATTTCAAAAGGACAAAAAAAAAATCACACACTTTAAATGCTACATTTTTTGCATCCATGAAAGGGATGCACCCTCGCCTCAAGTATTTAGAAATGTGGGGCTTGCTATTTGGGTGTAGGCTGACACCTGGGTCCAATCCCCGCACTGCACCATGGAAAGTGCTAGTTTGCTATACTTGCAAATCCAAATCTTTAACCAAGCAAATTCAAGTGCCCTTCCCCCAGCCCACCCCAGTCCTATCATTCCCACTGGACTCCCCTCATCCCAGTGAAACCCTCTGTAATTGGGCAAGGACCCATGTGTCCTCTCTTCTCTGGGTGACATAGTTGCTTTCTGAACTTTTGACGTATCGTCGTCTCTTCTCGGTCACTGATGCTCACATCCAGGCAATGCTGAATCCTGTCTTCTTTCTTTTTCCTCTGTATTCACATCACTACTACTCAAATTCAGACTTCCCTAGTTGGTAATTTCTTAATGTGCTCTTCCAACTCCTTTTACACATAACTGCCAAATCAATCTTCAAACACAGCTCTGATCCGGTTCATGACTGTTCAGTGACTCCTGTCTGCCTGATGAGAAAGGTCTAGACTCTTTGGGGTCACATGCAAAGCCAGCAGTACCTGCTCTGACCACTCTTCTCGGTTTCCCCTCCTCTGTTCCGCTCATGCTACCACCTTCACTCAAGCACCACTCGATTCTGTTTTCTAAGATCTCTGTTAGTTTTCACTACCTGCCTCAGTCCTGGAAGCAATGCCTTTCTCCAACCCTGTTCACACTCATTCTTCGAGCTGAGGCACCGTAACATCTGCTCCATCCAAGTTTGAGTGAATAGTCTTCTCCTCATTGTAGCTTATTTTTAACACCTTCTGAGTATCAACTTTAAGGACGTTTGGGCTGAGGTCTGCATACAGCTCCTCCACCCACCCATTCATTAGGCATGTGACCATGGAAAAGTTACCCGCCAGTTCTCCGTTTCAGGTTCATCAGCTATAAAGTGGGATAATAATACCTCCTACATAGAGTTGTTGCAAGGATTAAATGAGATAGTATTACATAACGCATTAGAACACCTACTGAAATATTAATATATATTATATAATATATAAATATTTATGTTTAAATTTATATATAATATATAAACATATTATTATATAAATTTATAAATTATAAATTAAATAAATTTAATTTAAAAATAAAATTATAAATTAATTAAATAAATTTATACATATTATATATTACATATTGTATATAACTTTATGTATTAGTTATTATTGCCACCAAATCATGAGTCTACTTTTTAACATATTTGTCTGGCAGATGCCCATCTCTAGATCATAAATTCTACAAAGTTGAAGACTGTCTTATGTTCCTTTTTTCCCCTGGTACATAATGTGATTAATTTAATACACTAAAATCCATGAAGAAATTTCTGCTGAATTAAAATTTTTAATTTTCTCTGATTTTTTTAGTCAAATTGGAGAATTCCTGTGTTTATATTTCCTATCTATCTCTTACATACCAGGGCAACATGGATCTACATGATGATTTGCAAACAATGAGGACTCAGTAAGGATTTGTAATTTCCTCTCGGACATATGCTTTACATCCAATAATTTCTTGGCTAAATTTATTCAATGTGACACTCTTCAAAGTGCTAATTATAAAAGAAGATTATAGATATACCAGTCACTGGGAATGGAAAATGCATTTAATTTGAGGTTTTAGGAAAGTAATTCTTGATGGCCATGGTTAATTTTTGAAGAAGTAAATTTTCTTCCATTCAAATTGTTATAAAATTAGTGATTTTCTATATAACTTATTTCTTTCATCTTTTTCCATGAATAGAATATTGGGAGAAAGAATATCTTTCTATTAGAAATATAATTTTCTAACCAAATGATTTATCAAAATGTTACAAAGTAAACTCTTCACAGATTCTTCCCTGACCTTAATCCATTTAAACAAAATTTTATTTTTCAGAGCCATCGAAAATACCTAGAACCATCTCTATGGCAACAGACTTTCTGGAATCTCAGAAAGGGATGAAAAAGAGTCTCCACAGTTCCCAGGGAAAGATAAAGGAAGAGTCAAAGATCCCTTTTCTTGTCAACTATGTGTATCTGTTTGTCCATGTGGCAAGCACTCATTGGTAACCTTTTGTATGTGTGGCTTTATGTCTGGGGAAATAGAAAATACCAGGTTACACAGGTGTCTAGAAACTTATTAGTAAGGAAAGTAAGACATGCAGATACATCTGAACATATAATAGAGAGGAGTCAGTGCACTTACAAAAGGGTGTCAGGGGAGGGACAGCTGCTACTGGGAAGGGTTTTTGGAAAATGTGACATTGAGCTGATATTTGAACTTTATAGACTATACTGATAGCATCATCCCTAGAATGTCCCCAGGTATGGAAGGATCAGACTTGATGTTATTATCCATTTATGCATCCATTTCACTCATTTATCCATATGGCAGTTAAAAGTATATTCAGGATCTGGATTCAGACTGCTTGGGTTTTGCTTCCAGGCCAAACCATGTGGAGCTGTGCAGTCTTGGGCAAATTACATAAACCTACACCTCAGCTTTCTTATCTGAGAAATAGGGATAATAAAAGTACTAACTTTCCAGAGTTGGTAAGACATCCTACATGCAAAGTGCTTACATGGAATGAGCATTCAATAAATAGTGGCTATAGTGTTAATGGTGTCGTTATTCTCACTACTTTCCCTACTTAAACAACCATTTACTGACCAACACCACATGTCGGAACTGTGGAAGACCTTGAAGATAGAGCTGACAACCTAGTCCCTCAGAAAGCTCACAAAGAAGTGGAAACAGCAGTCAGAAGAGGAAGTAACAGATTCTCTGAGGCAAGTAGTCCGAGGTTTTACTGGGAAACAGACAACAAACAGCTAAGTCAGAGAGAAGGTCGATGAAAGATTTCCAGAAGAGCTGAGGCTTCCGTTGAATCCTTAAGGGAGAGTTAGAATTAGCTAGGAGGAAGGAAAGGCTGCAGTGCGTTCTGGGCAGATGTGGGTGCCCTACCTACACCCCCTTGTTCCTTGACATTTCCGCCAGCCCAACTTCCAGCCACCAGCCCCTGGGCCTCTGCCTGAGGGCTTTCTCTGGGCTGCTGGAGACTGCTGGAGAAGTATCAGGGAATTAACACCCCCAAGAGGGCAGCCTTTCACAAGGGACTGCCAAGATTTGCATATAAGTACTCTAGTTCCCTTCTCTAGTGGGCTAATTTGGAAGCTTCTCCCACAGTCCTCCCCTCCCCATCCTAACCCTGGCTTTGAGCCAATGGTTAATTTCATTTATAATTAGGCCCTACGCTCTTCCATCCCTTTCCTGTCCTTCTTTCCCACTCTCCTGCTGGTGATTCTTGGGGTCATCTCCCAAATAAATGACTTCCACTTGAATTCTTGTTTTGGGGTCTGCTTCTGGGGGGATTTAAACTAAAAAAAGGGTAACTGCATTGAAACACAGGGAAAAACATCTGTGAAAACACATGGATACGAACAGCCAAGATGCTTTAAAGGAAATAAAACAAGCTTCCGAGTGGCTGAAGGGAAGAGTTACAGGGGGATCTGTGGGTAAACTATCCTGTTCTAGCTGCATAATGGAGGCTCTTCCTTCCTGGGTATGATGGTCAATCGCATGTGTCAATGTAACTGAGCCATGGAATGCCCAGACATGTGTCACAAAGGACTCTGGGGGTGTCTGAAAGAAATTTCGGAAGGAAATTAACACTTGATTTGGTAGACACAGTAAAGCAGATAGCCCTTGTAATGTGTGTGTGTGGGGGGCTCATCCAATAAGTTTAAGATTAACCCTCCCACAAGGAAGAGGGTACTATACTGTTGGGACAATGGGTTTTTCCTGCCTTTGGACTCAAATTGAAACACCGGCTCTGCCTGGGTCTCAAGCTTGCAGGAATTTGGATCGAAATGACATCACTGGCTCTCCTGGTTCTTAGGTCTTCAGACTCCCACTGGAACTCTGCCATCCACTCTCCTGGGTCTCTAGCTTGCTGACTGCAGGTCTTGGGATCTGGAAGCCTCCATAATTACATGGGCCAATTCCTTATGATAAATTTATATCTACATCTATATTCATATCTATATCTAAATCTATATTCACTATTGGTTCTCTTTCTCTGGGGAATCCTAACACCGTAGATTGAAGAATTTAAATTTTATCCCAAAAATTACAGGGTTACTAAACAAGTTTAAGCAGAAAATGACACACCAGCTTTTGAGAGAGAACATTTTTCATAAGTGAAATTTACTAATAAACTATAAAATGCGCACCTTCATATTTTGGTATTATTTATATTAAAATCCAGCACAGAGTAATTTTGGTCTACAAAGCACCTAATGTGCTGTTACTTATTAATGAAATCCACTTTAGTTCAACATTATTCTATAAAATGTATTCACTTGAGCCATGTTTATGCAGCACATATCTAGCAAGAATTTTTCTCTAACAAAACCGGGAAACAAAAAAGCAATATATGAAAGAAGAGGATAAGCCTATGGAGATAAGGAGGCATGCCATTCAAAATTTGGAAGCAGTTAAGGGACCGATGATGGAGCATGGGCCCAGAGCCATTGCCCTTTTAACAGTTCTTCAAGCATCATGCTTCTTTGTTAGAGGATGGAAATCAAGTAAAAGGTTCTAAGCCAAAGTTTT